ATGTTCGGACAGCAAACCCTGCGGTACCTGGGAGCCTGCCGCGGTTCCAAAAGATCAAACATTATATATGCAAGTAGATCTTAATATTGCTTGAGGAAGTTACTGCTCCTGTTACTATACTACTGCTCCGGGGAAACTCTATAACACCAGCACCAAATGTTGATGAAACTAGCAGTGAGCTGCGACACTGGCGACCCAGCTCACCACAACCAGAAAACAGTTCAAACACATCAAGGTCCTGGTTGCAAACAAAAGGAAAGCACATTGTGTTTCTTTACCAGAACCCAACAGTTCAAACATATATCAAGGTTCTGGTTGCAAACAAAAGGACTTGCAACTGATCAAAGCACATAATATTTCTTTCCCACAACCCTGTCCGGCTGCCAGTCTTGATCAGTACACGACAGCTGCTGGGACACGAAGTCCCAACAATGCAACCTCAAAATCAGCCGACCCGAGGAAGTGGTCCCACAATAATGTCTAGAAGATCTCATTCGATAAATTCAGTAACAACAAATCTGAGAGCAACAGACTGAAGTAGCGATGTTTAACACTATCAATATTTTTATCACTCCACAAAAGGAATCTAGCTAGAGAAAGGGTCATTGACTCTTGTGAATATCCTTGTGGGTGACCCTTATACATAAAGATTAATGTGTTGCATTGGCTTCAGGAAAGGCTCAATATAGCTGGAGCTCCGTAGAACAAGAGCAGTGCAGCTTTACGACGGGTCAACGAAAACGCCATAGCGCTGCCAGATCGCTAGGAACACAAGGGCCACCTTACTGAATTACAGTAATGAACCATGCCACACTGTCAAAGGCAGCTTTGAGTGGTCAGCTCCGCCACTTGGACACGATGCACACCAGAGACTTTGCATAACGGAAACAGAAATCAGCAGTGTCTTAAGTTTTTCCATCCCGGTTCGCTCCATATGCATGAACACTCTCACTACCGTAGTTTGTAGTGAGGTGATAGCACCCTTCGTGTTTGCGCCTGCATGGGGGACCACTCAGAAGCCAACAGCGTGCTGTATTCAAAAATCATGGTTGCACTTGGGGTATGACTCAATTATTGTTTCTTTTTCTTGCCCCCCATTGCAAGGCCAAAATTTCTAGCCTAGACCCATCCGGCTACTTTTTGCGCTATGCACCATGAAGATTGCCACCCACCGCGTTTGCGAACACTGATGGTGACGCCACCTTTGCTCTTCACAGTCATGCCTTCTGGAAGTTCTTCTGGGCAAAGCACTTTGGAGACATAGATTTGCTCCACGACCCACCTTGCACTAGCCATCTTTGGGTGACGCGGTGACAAGGTATCTCAAAATATCTAGAAAGGTGGAGTCCAAAACTTTTCAAGAGCAAGTTCATTAATGATATTGTAAATTACCGCAATAGTGCCCAACAAATCATTCCAAGCATATGGTTATAGCTAGAAACTAAAATCCTAGTAGTCATCGATTACAAGTTCCAAACGCATCCAAAGAACAAAATTCCCAAGTTTCCTGCTTTATGCACGCAGTGCATTGGTGGCCGGAGAGTGTAGCTCTTCTTGTTGCCCATATCACCCTCCGGCACAGGAATGCCAGCTTCTCGAAGCACTTTCTCCTGAGGCTCACAGGGCTTGAGATGGATGTTCGACTTGTTTTGTTCCTTGAATGACCTATTACAGACATGTTTGGTTGGAGTCACTACGCGCATTATCATGGCCACTATGGAAAGGGTCTGAGCAACTTGTTGGGGCGATCCCACTAGGCTTGCATTTTTGAGTATACCCTCTCCTTCTCAAGCCATTGATGTTGGGCACCAACAGCTGCACCATCAGAACCCTGCTTGGTCTCATGCTGGGGTGGAGACTTTGATGACGCATCCGCCACTCCATCAGCACCAAGGGCATTGGGATCAACATCAGCAACCTCTGCCATGTCTTCTTCGGTAGTCTTGGTAGCATTCCCACGGCCACGGCCCCGACCCCTTCCCCTGCCAGTCTGTTTCTTCTGGATGGCTTTTACCACTTTTGGGTCATTGGCTGCCTTTTGAAGAACCTTTTCAGCTGACTGGATTTTGGCTGCTTTCGATTTCGCCAATTGAGCTGCGTAGGGGTCACTGGCAGCTTCAGAAACTTGGACTTTTCCTTCAAAAAGCTTGGAAGCAGCCCGATCCAAACCATGTTGAACAACAGGAGGTTCTGCTTCAAGCGGAGTACGATCCTGGACATAAAAAGTCTTGTTTATCATCATGTTGGCGGCAACTGAATCATCACCTAGACACTAGTGAGAGTTTCGTGACCTTACCCCCCGTGATCATGCCACTGTCCTTTATGGCCTGACGGCGGGTCGTTTCTGCCGCAGCATCTGCAGGCGGCTCCTCAAGTTCTGCGCCTTCCAAGAGATCAGCGATACCCATTTCAAGTGTCTCCATCTCATCAGGGTTCGCTTTGAAGTGGGTGGTCTCGACAGGGTTCACCTTGAAGTGGGCGGTTGGTGGGAAAAGAAAACTTTACAGAAAGTTGTCACAATTCTTGAGCACAAATCATAACCCAAAAAACAATCAATATCACCATCAAGAAGAAGTGGCTAATGCAATCTTTTTGGTCGTGTCTGGAGGTGAAGCTGTCGATGAAGGGGTCGAAACAGAGGCACTTTCACTAGTGTCCTGCGCTGTGGTTTGGCCACTTGCCAAACTCCAACTCCAAAACATACGCTTGACCTTGCAGGTTAGTTTCCATGTGTGGAACTACATGAGATGGTTTTTGTTCATGAGTGATTTTGACAAATATTTGCTGTCCTCAGTGGCAACAGCAGCATTCAGGGCAGCTTCCATACCACTCTCGGGGTCGCAGCCAGCTGGACAGGGTGACAACCAAGTTCAATTTATGTTTGTAGGCTGCAAATACCGTCAAGTACCAGGAGTCACAAAGGGGTTGTTTTAGCCTGTAAGTGAATGGATCATGGGCACCCCTATCCTCCAATAGTCACCCCTTTGTGACTCCTGGTGTATACGTTTGTTCCCTGGTATATACATTTGTTAAGCTTCAAATTCTGAAGGAAAATCCTGGCCTTGGACCCTCAAATCACCAAGGAAGGCCTTCAGGAAACGCACCTTCTCTGACCGAGATGATGTAGATCGTTTGCACAAATATAGTGTATGGACCAACATGCAGCGCAAATTGCCAGCTTCGAAATTCGCCCACTCCTACATACACAAACCATCACAACACTATTGGTTTTATAGTTGCATACAGGGAGAGGATGGCATTGGTTATCGCATCGTGGTTCTTTAAGGACTTCATTAAAAAGAATCATGTCCAGCAGGGAAGGCTCTGCATGTGAAAGAGCTGAACACAAACACCCCCAATCCTTGATCTCACGCTTCTTGGCTGCTGAGCCAAGTATGGCGTACCGCTTCGCCAAGGCAAACAACACTTCCTGATGCGGCGCTGACAGGGAAACGGCAGACTGTAGACTGCACCAAGTGTGGTATGTGTGGCGGAGACCAAAAAAAACTTTGACTTTGATATAATATACATGGTCAGGGGCAACTAGCACATGGGTTGGCATTAGTCAATACCACGCCTGGTGCAACTTCAAAGCTGGGATGACCAAGTCCATGGATGCCATGTAGTTCATGATCAGCTCATAGTGCATCTCAACCTGGATCCATAGATGTTATGCAGGTACTTAATTCTAGATAGGATCTATCACTAACTCTGAAAAAACTTGCAGTAGCTGGCCGACATGCGAATGGAGATGTGCGTTCATTCCCTAGGCCAACTAGTTAAAACACATCATCTCTCAAGATGCATTGATTTCAACAATAGTATTGTCCAAGCGTCCATCTCCACAGACGATGGACCAGAGTCTGGCTTCTGAAAAAGGCACTTGGGTGGTGGCTGCTTTCGGATACTCTCAAGCCTTTCCAAGAGGTGCTCATTCAGAATGTCCTTCAGGGAGTGTCAGTACAGTCATAAATCCGGAGAAACACAACAAATACAGTAGATGTTGAAAAATAGACTTTGTCGACCAGGTCCTCTATGATGGCCTTTTGATACACAGTTGTCTGATTTTGCGGGGCCATGGCTGCAAGTCCAAAAAGTGCAAACCCACTCCAAGAATAGATCCACAAAAAGCTGCTCAGAATACAAAAAGTGCAAGCCCACCCCGACATTAGATGCACAAAAAGCTGCTCAGAATACAAAAAGTGCAAACCTACTCCAAGATTAGATCCACAAAAAGCTGCTCAGAATACAAAAAGTACAAGCCCACTCCAAGATTAGATCCACGAAAAGCTGCCCGACAGGAAGGAAAGCTGCAATACAACCACTCGCTCATTCCCCAAATGTCCCAAAGAGCAGGGCGGTTGGGCGCACCTTCCCAATGCTGCACAAGTCCACCAGTGGTGGTGGCAGCGGGCCGTGCTGGATCATCTTTGCTTTGCAGTGATCGAGCCCGCTGGGCGCGATGAAAGGCTATGGCCCGCTTCATCTAGGAGGTTTTCCACATAAAGGTCTACATTCATGTTTGTGAAAGTTCTTTTTCTTTTCTACTCGCAAAGTACAAAACCAAGTTCCTCTGAATATATTTCCAATTCCAGATCTTCACTACTCCATTCTTAAGCAAATCTTGGCAACTATCGTGCATTTTGATCACTATTGTGAAACCAACAGTACTAACCTCTCTTGTGTTTGGTGTGTTGGCAAAATATGGCATCAGAAAGCATCATGTCCGACAATGCGACCATGTCCGACACCCACATTTCGACAATGCATATGTTATCAGTCATCATTCCATACGCATGCACTATTTGCATGCATCCCTGAACTTGACCTATTGTTGGTCATAGAGCCTCAGGGAACCTTTTCCAAAAGCCCAAACACGATCCAAAACGGCAAGGCCGTTAAGCCTGTTGTGGGCTCTCTCTTTTTGCCCCCAAAACGAACCCCAACGCCCAACGTCTGCGCGCGCAGCTTCTTCCGCGCGCGTGAAAAGAAGGGCGCGCCGCTGGAGGAGGACGTTGAGCTGGAGGGCGGACCCGACGTTGGCCTAGCGGGGGGCGTTCAAAACTTAGATTTGGAAAATATGATTAACAATTATTGAAAAAAACTATTCCCCAGGCTCACAGGTGACCGTGAACATAGACCCTGAAAGACTGTTCTCATCTACCACCCAGTGGTCTTCGGGTCCATGGTCCATGTATATTCCAAAGGGGATTTACCCATGGGGAAGATGACAACCCCCAATGCAGGCTCACAGGGGACCGTGAACATAGACTGAATTCTCATCTACCACCCAGTGGTTTTCAGGGTCCATGTGAAATCGGATGGGAAGTGAAGATCAGGTGTTTCTTTTGGGTCTTTGGACTATCTTAGGATATCTTGGGCAGTCATCTTCCTTTACTTCCACTTAAAGTCGATCCTTTGGGGAACAAAAGCATCTCCCAAACAACTCCTTCGGGCTTTGGACAGGGGGTGGTAAGGTACAAAAGAAAAGCAAATTTCTTCGATCGAGTGTGATGAACACAAAAATAATGAACCTAAAAAGACAAGCACCCAACCATCCTCTCCTCCTGCCTTTGTCAAGGTGCAGAAAAATTGCTTCCGAAAAAGAACAAGCCATCCAAGCTGGGCTGTCCATGCTGGTCCGGTTTCGCCTTTCATATCCTTTTTTCATTTTCGCTTTCAAGCGCTTTCGTTAAGACATCAGTTCTAAACCAACAAACGACGGGTCCATCACCTCCGGTCGAACCGACGACGCACCGTCCCCCCGAGCCATCCCGGTCCGCCTGGCGGCCGGGACCTCCTCCGGCTCGCGACGGTGACGCCTCGCGGGCGGCGATTCAGATGGTATCTGGAATAGGCTTCCATCGATAGGCCATAGGCGGAAGCCTTCCACCTGCCTACTGTAGAGGTCGAACAACTCCTATTGGCCAATATAAAAGCCTATCATGACCTGAGCTTTGGAGGGGCGAGGGTTTTTCACAGCCCTCTTTTTCGCATCTCCCAGATGTACCACTCACCAGGCACCCCCCCAAGTGGTTGGTGTTGGGGAACCAACTCACCTACATGAGGTGGTGCGACTCGTAGGGAATCTTCAGGTGGCTGGATTCCAAGGATCTGTCTATCTCATTCCCTCTACTACCAAGATCTAAGCACCAGTCTGCTAGTTGGTGATGTTGGTTCCAAGGGTCCAAGGGACCTACATGAGGTGGTTGGACTGGGGGAGGGTGGATTGGTTGGGCCAAATCTTCCCCACACTCAGTTGGTTGACTTCTGATGCGAGGCGTGTGTGGAATGGCTGGGGGGGGTGAGTTCCGTGAGGCAAGGCTCTATAGGTTACTTTTCTACATCACATGCCTTGCAGTATATAGACCCCCCAAATAGATAGAAAAGTAGATCCCCACTCAAATCCATGAAACATGTATTGGACACCGTGCCACTATCTATTTGGTTTTCACTATATGCGCAGTTCGGAACAGCAGCTCGCAGGGTGAGGCCATGGAGAGACTGCCCAAGCACCTGAACCTGAGACTTCTGATGAGTCAACCAAGCACCTGTCCACACCGCCAAGGCCATTACCTGACCAAAATGAGTGGATATACCGAAGAGAAGGGTCAGCAAGTCGACCACTTGATGGATCCAAACCTTCCCCACTTACAACTTGATGGATCCACGACTTGATCTATTAGTCTATGGAATGCAAGTTGTGAGTAGTCAGTTATGAAGCTTTAAGGCTTCATACTCACAGCTTCACCAGCCTTGATGAGTGTGGAAAAGCACACCCATTCCAGAATTGCAACTGCTCGAAGACCCTTTCGATGGCTGGCGTCAATGTCATGCTTGATGATTGATTGATTATGATGATTGTTATATATTGTTATTATGGTTTGGACGACGTCTTCTTAACCTCACTCTCCAAAAACACACACGTTGCTCATTGCGTTTTGCGCGGATTCGTCTCTGTGGTCTTTGAGAGGTGAAGCATGGTGGTGTGCACATACGATAAGTGATCCACATAGTGGCTCTATGAGCTTGATCAGATATCGGCTTAGAATCTCGGAAGAAGAATCTCTCCAGAATCCAGTATGTACCTGGTATATAGTACAGGTATTTATACATCGTTGATGCATCTTTCAAATTCTGCAACACTAAAGTGATTAACAAGGTTCCTGCGGCGGCAAATGCCCATTTCCAACCTTGGATGTCCAACCTACTGAGGAACCAAACTCAGCAGTTCGCTCACCGACCAAGTGGCAGGGAGTTCTTGAATCAACTGCACGGGCAAAAGTTGTCTGGATGGTGGTTCAACCAATTCCCAAGAATGTGACATAATCAGCTGGGGTAGTCATTCCCAAATAGGGTCGAAAGATATTGAAAGTAACAAGCAAATGAACACACCAACCAGCTGCGACGATCCATTCCTGCCCATCAGTCCATAGCCATAGACCCCCAGCCTCATGTCCTCACCCGTGTGACCGTGCACGTCGCTGTGACGTCCGGCACGCCCCACAGAATGGAGCTCCGGCTTTGAGCGGAAGTCCACTTCCCAATCACTCCACTTGGCATGGTTCAAGTAGTCCTGGAAAACAAGTCATCCGAAGGCAGCCCAGGGCTGCTGCTCGCAGCCCTTCGATCGACGGTGTTCGGTCGCCGGGCGAATCCATGGATTCGCCAGGGGAAGCGACGTGGCTGAGGGTCCCAGTCTTGTTCGGTTTCTCTTAAGCATCCATTGGTAAAACCAGAACCAAGACGGGCCTATATTGGGAAAAGGGTCATGGCACCCGGATCCCCAAACCAGGATAGGTTGACCTCCCAGGTAGTCCGTTCTGTTCATTTTGGTCTGGTCAACCAAGGTAGCCCCGGTTTGGGTCCACAGCCATGTATGAATGGGCATCTATACCTTAAGGATGCTCAAGGGATGTCCATGAATGACCCCCTGACAAGGGGTCCTTGTAGTTGCTTCTGGCAGTTGCTCCATGCAGCAATTCCTCCAAAAGTCCTCTTTTTAGAAAAGATTCAGCGAAACAAGATCCTGGCTTTTCGTCTCAGTCCAAGGGCGTGCCGGAATGGCGACCAACGGTGAGGAATTGGCCGAAAATCGCTAAGATCATCTGAGATCCAGAAAACTTACACACGCAGATTTTAGGGCGACGTTTCATGGATGTCTTCAAGCAACCCGAACCCTCCACCCCAAATCCCAGAAGACAAAAACAAACACATAGCAACACACGTCCTTCTTGTATTGATCGACCAACTGCCATACATCGTCTTACCAAAACTATCAAAATTGCACCATCATGCCATGGTTCTTAACAAAAAAGGAACTCCCACCCTCCTTGACCCACCCAACCCAACCCCGTGTTCCCGGGATTGTTTCGCCGAACAAAAGGTCCAAAGGTGTTCTTGATTTCCGAACCACCCTCTTCGCCGGCGACTTCCATCGCGTCCTCCTCCTGGTCCTCCTCCTCGTCGTCCCGTCGGGTGATCGTCCCTCCTCCCTCCGAGCGCGAGCTCTCGCGATCGTCGGTCGCGGCTGCCGAGGGTCCAGTTGCTGGGCGGTCAAGGGCGAGACCTCCTCGGTGATCTCGCGGCTGCCGCGGAAGATCTGCGGACCGAGTCCGGACGAGGACTGCGGACCACCCCGTGGAGAGGGAGAGGGGTGGATGGGTGGATGGAAAAGGCCGCCTACCAGTGAAGAGTCGGATGGGGAAGGATTTGGTGGAAGGAGGGGGAAGTAGATGAGGAGGTAGGTAGGGTAGATAGGATAGGGAAAGCATTGTTATAATTAGGTTTTGCATCCTGAAAATGGGGGGTCAGATGTAGGACTCATGGCTGCTCAGGGCAATGCCATGGAAATGGAATGACATGGATCCGGTCTTTCCTGATCCACACACTCCTTTTGACATCGACATGGGTGGACAATGGTGGGGGCTGGAGGGAGTGTTTGGATCGATCCCAGGGTTCACCTGGTCTGCAGTTCCATCGACCTTTCCAACGAAAATGGCCTTTGACGCCTGCCAAACACCACCCCTGGTCCGGGTTCCCGGGTTGACCCTGCTAGGTGGACCTCGTAGTCGATTCTGTTCATTTGCAGTGAACCAAACGAGGTCCGGTTTGGACCCGCCACATGATGCCACATGTCATCCTCTAAGATGTCGGGTCCCAAATACCTCGAACAGGTCGAGGGATCCAACGACGTGTGACCCATCAGTCTGGGACCCCCAATCACCGACCCCCATGACTACCTGCTGACATGAAACATCATCTGACTCTCATACATCCGCGTCTATCAGTTATACTGATCCATCATGGATCGGCGGATTTCCCGCCTGTGGCGCCCGGCTCGCGCTCGGCTCCTCCACCAGCGCTGCGCCCGAGCCCGGCGTGGTGGGCGTGCTCAGCCCGAAGGGTTCGCGGGCGTCGCGCGAAAGAGCTGGCTCCTGCGCAGATGAGACGGTTTAGTGGTGCAAAGGTAGAGGGAACTGGAAGGATATACATACCTGGACCATCCTGTCGGGGTGCCCTGTCTGGAAGCCCAGTGCGGTAGAGTGGGACTTTTTTTTGCAGCCAGCCAGACACCCAGACAGGATGGTCCTGGGAGGTGAATCTTCATTTTGGGGCCTCCAATGTGCAGGCTGGCTTTGAACTCCACGTGAGGACGCTATGCTGGTTTTATACATGAAACATGAAAAACACACATAGTTGGAAGCTGGATGATGTAGGCATGACCTGGCATTGTGAGGAAGGGTGATCGGAGTGAGATGAGCTATGATGATGAGATTCTGTTGTTTCCAACTCAGGGGCGCTGTGACACTCAGTCAACACATTGCTGGGAAAAAACACCTCGTTCGTTCATTGGATGCCTCATGAGACCCATCTTTTGTTATATAAGGCGCCGCTCTTGGTGGTACCTGTGGTTTCTTCATGGGAGTCCTCACCGACCTTTCAACATGATGGAGCCACCATGAAGAACGCAACAAAGACATGTTCATATATCCGCCGACCCTAGCCGATGGATGGGGGAGCGCGCCAGAGGACACTGAACGCGTCGCTGGCCATCAGTAGCCAGATCGAAGACGCGTGGGAGGTGAGAGAACGGCTGCTGGAAGGGAAGTGGAGAAGATGATTTTTACTGCTGTCAGAAGGCGACGTTTGGCACTGAGAGAGTAGCTCTGAGGACGAAGTTTTGATTGTTTTTGATGTGGAATTAGATTGTGGAAAGGCGTGGCGAGGGAGATCGCTGGGAGCAGGCGTCTACCAGCCAGAAGACCCGTGGGAGGTGAGAGAACGGCTTCTGGAAATAAAGCGGAGAAGCCGTCAGAAGGCGACGTTTGGCACGGAGAGAGCAGCTCTGAAGACGAAGTGGAATTCGATTGGGGACAGGCGCGGCGAGGGAGATCGCTGGGAGCAGGTGTCTACCAGCCAGAAGATTCGTGGGAGGTGAGAGAACGGCTTCTGGAAGGGAAGTGGAGAAGAGGATTTTTCCTGCCGTCAGAAGGCAACGTTTGGCACTGAGAGAGTAGCTCTGAGGACGAAGTTTTGGTCGATTTTGGTGTGGAATTAGATTGTGGAAAGGCGTGGCGAGGGAGATCGCTGGGAGCAGGCGTCTACCAGCCAGAAGACCCGTGGGAGGTGAGAGAACGGCTTCTGGAAGGGAAGCGGAGAAGAGGATTTTAATGCCGTCAGAAGGCGACAGTTGGCACTGAGGAAGCTCTCCGGTACTCGAATACACATGCACCTCAGTACACCGCGCGCATTGCATCGTGCGCGTGCCGTCGCCATTGTCTGTGCTCGCGGCCGTGTGCCAAGTGCCGTTAAGCAGTTCCTTCCAGGAGCTGGAGCTGCGCTCCTGACACACTCTTCTGTTTCGAAATCAGCGTCGCTTCCCTCTGTTGATTTTCTGCATTCCTCACTGCTGGGACAAACCGGCGACGCCTGGAAGGCGATGCCGACCAAATCTCCGGCAGTGACATACTGCAACCAACCTCGACTTCAATCCCGAGCGCGTGAACGACGGCGACTCGACCCACGACCTTCGTTACTTGTTACTCTGCGCTACGGCATACCGCAGTACTTCCAACAAGGTTGTTCTTTACATCCTATATAGACTCAAGTGGGTCTCTTCCATGCTTCCAAGTCACATCGATTCTTTCAAGAAAAACTACAGCTAGCTAATAGCTTTCCTGAATGCGCACAAACCCCTCACTGCAAACCAGTCACCCCCGCGCTGCGTTGCCTTCGGCAATTGGAACGATGGCCAGCCAACTCTGCGACGCCTGCGCGCAACTACGGACACACAAACCACACATGCAGTCACCCTCCCGTCATCTCCGCACCACGGGCTCTCCGATCACCGCTTGCGTGTCCCTCCGTCCGTTGCCCCCCCCCGCCACTCCTCCACACAAACAAAAGCCTCACAACCCTGCCACGCCTGCCAGTAGAGGGCATGGGTGCCACATTCATTGATGCGATCATTGCGTGCCAGACTCTTCTTCGCGCATACGGTGACTTGCAAGTTTATCATCGTTTCACCCACACCTGTCCATCGAGTGCTGGCCACGTACGTGCCATTCAGCTGCCTGTTCACAAAGCCTCCGAGCAAAAAACAAGTCAGGACTTCTTTGTCACCGACCGCACCCGCGCTCTTGCCACCCCCTCCTGCCCCCTCTATCTTTTGCACTCTTCACGGCACATTCTCCTCCACCACCTTCTTTCTCGCCGACCGCGCCCGGCTCTTGCCACCCGCTCCTCCCCGTCTGTCTTTCACACTCTTCCCGACCCCTTCTTCCCAACCACCTTCGCCTCTGGACACGGCGGCCGAAACAGACGCCGTGTCCCTCATCCATTGGTTATCACCACTCGCGCCCTCTTGCCACCCCCTTCTGCCCCTCTGTCTACCCCTTCTTCTCAACCGCCTTCGCCTCTGGACACGGCGACCACCTTCGCATCTGCTTCCGCACTCCCTCCCGCGGTCGCCGCCACAGGGCGTAGCCCTAAAATGCGGGCGCCGGCCCCTGGGCCAGCCCGTGTCGCCCGGAGGGCCTTCGGTTGTAACCGAAGGTTAAGGACCCCCCCGGTTCACCCCCAACCCACGTGTTTTTCAGTGTTTTGTGTGTGTACACAAAACACTGTGTTTTACAGGGTTTTGTGCGCGTGGAAAACGCGACCAGGCGAAGATGGAGAAATGCGAAAACACTGTGTTTTTCAAGGGTGGTGTCGGTAATGCGCGTCGCGCGGACTGGCATAAACAGCAATGGCGGAAAATGTGCTCCAAGATGACCTGACAGAGGCCCGCCAGATGACCCAACATAGGTCCCAGATATGGCACACATAGCCGCAAGATGACCCTACATAGGTCCCAGATATGGAAAACATAGCCCCTATCTAGATGTCAAGATGTGGCAACATAGGCCCCACAGTCTCAAAGAGAGAGAGAGAGAGAGCAGACAGACAGAAAGAAAGACAGATAGATAGATAGATGGATATATAGATAGATAGATAGAATGCAAGAAAGAAACAAATAAAGAAAGAAAGAAAGAAAGAAAGAAGGAGACGGAGACAGAGCGACAGAAACAAAAGGCGAGAGAGAGAGAGAGGGAAAGAGGGAGAAAGACATGGAGGGAAAGAGACCCTAAGCAAGCCAACGAGAAAGAGAAAGAGAGAGAAAGAGAGAGAGAGCGACGGCTCTCCCGACCTTCAGTGCCTCTTACATGCATCCGGGCGGTCAGCCCCCTTCCACATTGAAGGATGTTGCCGGGATGCCCGACGTCCCGCCCCCCGTCGCCTCATGTCTTTTGCCTCTATCCCCTCTCCCTTCCTACTTTTGCCCTGTGTTGGGCCGGCGCCCGGCTGTCAGGCGTAAGCCTTAAATCCGGGCGCCGGCCCCAGGGCCAGCCTGCGTCGCCCGGAGGGCCTTCGGTGTAACCGAAGGTTATAAGGACTGACGCCCCCTGCCGCGGACACCCCCGAACAACCTCCGACCCACGTGTTTTACAGTGTTTTGTGCGTGTGAGGTACAAAAAACACTGTGTTTTACAGGGTTTTGCGCGCGTGGAAATGCCACACGGCGAAGATGGAGAAATGCAAAAACACTATGATTTTTCAAGGGTGGTGTCGGTAATGCGCGCTGCGGACAGGCATAATCGACTTTTCGTGGGCGTCGAGCACGTGCCAACAGCAATGGCGGATAATGTGCTCCAAGATGACTGGACAGAGGCCCTCCAGATGATCTAGCATAGGTTCCAGATATGGCACACATAGCCGCAAGATGACCCTGCATAGGTCCCAGATATGGGAAACACAGCCCCTAGATGGGCCAAGATAGCCTCAAGATGTGTCAACATAGGCCCCACACAGTCTCAAAGAGAGAGAGAGAGAGACACAGAGACAGAGACAGACAGAGACAGAGACAGAGAGAGAGAGAGAGAGAGACAGACAGACT